AGCTGTAGATGCTATAAATCAGAAACAAAAACAGAAATTGCTGGAAAAGCTCAGCAGGTCTGGCAGCATCCGTGAAGAGAAATCAGAATTAACGTTTCAGGTCTGATGACCCTTCCTCAGAATTGATGTTAGCTGGCAAAATTTCGATTTGTATGCAGTAGATAGGGTGGGGAGGGGCTAAGGAGTAGATGATGGGTGGGGATAGAGCCCAAATAGAGAGAAGAACAGTTGGACAGACAAAGGAGTTGATAACAATCTGGTTGGGAGGGCGAATAGCTGTTAATGGGGACTGTTAGTGACTAACAATAGGTAGTGTGTAATGGCAGGCTATGCGGTAACAAGGCCTGGTGTGTGGGGTAGGGGGCTAAGATATGGGAAAGTTCAGGCCCTAAAATTATTGAACTCGATATTGAGTCCGGAGGGCTGCAGGATCCCTAAGCGGAAAATGAGGTGTTGTTCTCCCAGCAGAGTTACTCTGGAGCACTGCAGCAAGCCAGAGACAGAGATGTTGGCCAGGAAACAGGGTGGTGCGTTAAAGTGGCAGGCGACAGGTAGCTCAGGTTCTTTTTTGTGAGCAGAATGTAGATGTTCTGCAAAGCGGTCACCCAGTCTACGCTTCGTTTCCCCAATGTAGAGGAGACCACATTGTGAGCAGCGACTAGATTCTGGGAAGTGCAGGTGAAGTGTTGTTTCACCTGGAAGGTACGTTTGGGTCCTTGGATAATGGGGAGGGAGGAGGTAAATGGGCAGGTGTTGCACCTTCGCTGGTTACAGGGGAAGATGCCGTGGGGCTGTGGGGTTGTGTTGGGAGAGAAGGAAGAATGGACCTGGGTGTCCTGGAGGGAACGGTCCCTGCAGAAGGTGGACAAGGGAGGAGAGGGGAATGTGTGGTGGCATCTTTCTGGAGGTGATAGAAATGGCGTCTGAAGATCTTCTGGATGTGGATGCTGGTGGGATGGTAGGTGAGGACTATTGCTGTTGTGGGAGGGAACAGAGGGGGTGAGGGCGGAAGTGCGGGAGATGGGTCAGACCTGGTTGAGGGCCCTGTCGACAACGGAGCTGGGGAATCCTCGGATGAGGAATAAGGTGGACATTTCGGAGGCACCCTTGTCGAAGTTGGCCTCGTCGGTACATATACGACGGAGACGGAGGAACTGAGAGAATGGGATGGAGTCTTTACAGGAAATGGGGTGTGAGGATGTATAGTCCAGGTAGCTGTGGGAGTCAGTGGGTTTATAGTGGATATTAGTGGCCAGTCTATCCCCAGAATTGGGAACAGAGATGTCAAGGAAGGGAAGGGAGGAGTCAGAGATAGATCAGGTAAAAATGAGGGCAGGGTGGACACTGAAGAGAAATCATTGAACTTTTCCAAATCCGAATGAGAGAGGGAAGCAGCACCGATGATATCATCGATGTATCGGAGAAAGAGTTGTGGGTGGGGGCCGGAATAGGACTGGAACAAGGAATGTTCCACGCACCCCATGAAGAGACAGGCATAACTGGGGCCCATGCGGGTATCCATGACCACCCCTCTGACCTGAAGAAAATGAGAGGAGTTAAAAGAGAAGTCGTCGAGGGTGAGGACAAGCTGGGCCAAGTGAAGGAGGGTGGAAGCGGGCGGGGACGTTTCAGGCCTTTGCTCCAGGAAGAAGCGGAGAGCCCTAAGACCCTCCAGGTGGGGAATGGACATGTAAAGGGATTGCACGTCCACGGTAAAGAGGAGGTGGCTGGAGCCTGCAAACTGGAAATTCCGAAACTGGTATAAAGCATCAGAGGAATACCATGGGATCTCAACTTATTTAACTAACATCTGTGCAGCACATTGTCAAAGGCCTTCTGGAAATCCAAATATCCACTGGTTCTATAGTGCCAATCTTCTTCCTTTTTCCCATATCCCTGCTCATCATTTCTAACCAAATAACCATTCCATACCCTCTTGAGTGCCTCAACTGAACCTGCCTTTACCACATTTCCAGGCAGCACATTCCAGACCCTAACTACTCGCTGCGAGAAAACTCACGTTTCTCACATTACCCTTGTTTCCTATGCACATCACTTTAAATCCTCTTGTTTGTTTTATTAGCAGGAGAAGATTCTCCCTATCTATTCTGTCGAGCCAACTGTTGTTGGACATTTTAAAAACATAAAGCTAAAATGAATCTTTTTATTTACAGTTTCCGCCTTTATTTACCTAATCTCTCTCCTCGTCCAACGTTGCTTTGCCTCTCGTTATTTCTCATTCTGCTCCTGGTCTCGCATTGAATTGACCTGCTCACTGTCAGTCCTTGCCTTCTATTTCCACAATCCTTCAGTCTGATTGTTTGAGGAGGTGAACACTTGCTTGTCTCGTGTATTCAGATCTCAGTTACCCTGACTCCCCTCTTTGGTGTTATCCCTTCAGATGTTCGGCAATTCAGCAAATGTTTGAAGAATCTCAAAGCGGACAAAATTAGAACTTTGGAATGAGGCGCAGATATAGACCATTTGGCTTGTTGCTTTAGATCTGTTTTTTTATTCACTTGTGGGATGTGGGTGTTGCTGACCAGCATTTATTGCCCGCCCTTAGTTGGCTTTGAGAAGGTGGTGGAGAGCTGCCTTCTTGAACCGCTGCAGTCCATGTGCTGTAGGTAAACCCGCAGTGTTACTCGGGAGGGAAGTAGTCATGGGCTTCAAAGGTGCTGTCTAAGGATCTTTAGTGAATTTCTACTGTGCATCTTGTAGATTGTACACACTGCTGTTACTGAGCATCAGTGATGGAGGGAGTGAATGTTTATCAAAGCAACCACATCCACAAACAGCCATGACCCCTACCATCCAGAAGGACAAGGGCAGCAGACACATCGGAGCACCACCACCTGCATGTTCCTCTTCAAGCCACTCACCATCCTGACTTGGAAATATATCGCTGTTCCTTCTGTGTCTGTGGGTCAAAATCCTGGAATTCCCTCCCTCACGGCGTTGTTGTTCAACCTATAGCACATGGACTGTAGCAGTTCAAGATGGCAGCTCATCACCACCTTCTAAGAGCGACAAGGATGGGCAATAAATGCTGACCCAGCCAGCGATGCCCACATCCCATGAGTGAATTTTAAGAATCTAGAAATCTATCGATTTCCATCTTGAACATCTTGTTACGGATACTTTGCAGCTCTCTGGGGCAGAGAATTGCAGAGATTCAGTTCCCTTTTCTGAAGCAATTTCTCCTCATCTCAGTCCTAAATGGCCAACCACATGAGAGTTAGCATGGAAGCGCTGAATATTTACAGTATGGAAGGAGGACATTCGGCCCACCCTGTCCATACTGGTTTACCGGATGAGCACATGACCCATTGCCTTTGCCTTCTGTTAAATCTCAGTACTTTCTGATCTGGATGCTGAAATCACCCTAAAGGACAGACAAGTCTAACTAATGGCACGTGCAACTTGACCTATGCCAAACAACATTAGAAGAATGTTTTTTATGCTTTAAATTGTCCATTGCTTTGGACTCTGAAGCTGTTTGGTAAAGAGTACATGCAATCTACCTTGTTTAGCAAGCAGCATCATGTAGAAGCGTGTGATTTATATTTTGAAGTTGGTGTACAGCAGTATGTTGAACTCCTAAGTCTTACAATCAATATTCAACAAGTAAAGTTATGTTAGATTTGTCAAGAACCTTGGTGAGACTGCACCTATAGAGCAGAATTCTAGTCTCCATGTTATAGAAACAGATATAGAGGCATTGGAAAGATTGCATCAAAATGATTGACCATAAATGGAGGATTTTAGCAATGGGAAAAGAGAGAGATCAGCTCTGGACTGATAGGATGTGGCAGGGTTTGAAAGGGTATATGTGAAGAGGAGAGGTTTTCACTTATACAGAAGACCAAGACTAGTTGTCGTGAATATAGTCCCCACTAAATTCAATAAGGAATCCTGCAGACAATTCTTAACTCAGACAGTGATTGGTAGGGGGTATTTGTGAGTGGATGAAACAGGTGCCACATACACGCTAAGCCAGATAAGGGCATGAGGAAGAAAACAAGGGTAGATTGTTTTAATCAACCTGTGTAGTTGTATTAAGATACACCTAGGAATAGATAGAACTTAACCCCAGGTCTTCTGACCCAGAGGTAGGAACATTACCACTCTGCCTCAAGAGCTCAAATGCTGATAGGGCTAGATGAGTGAATAGAGTCATAGAATCCTACAGCATAAGGTCCTTTGGCCCACCATGTCTGTGTGATCAACAAACATCAAACTACATCCCATTTACTTGCATTTGGTCCATAGCCTACTATGATCTGGCATTTTAAATTCTCACCCAGATGGCCTGGTGGTACTGTCACTAGATTATTAATCCAGAGACCCCGGTAATGTTCCGGGTACCCAGGTTCAAATCCCGCCACAGCAGATGATAGAATTTGAATTAAAAAAAACGTCTGAAATTAAGACCTTAATGATGACTGTGAATCCATTGTCGATTGTCAGAAAAACCCATCTGATTCACTAATGTCCTTAAGGGAAGGAAACTGCCACCTTTACCTGGTCTGGGCCTATATGTGACTCCAGATCCACAGCAACTTGTTGACTCTTAACAACTGGGGACAGGTATTAAATATTGGCTTAGCCAGCAACACCCATATCCCATGAATGACTAAATAATTTACATGAAATAGATACTTCTTAAATGCTGTGAGTACCCGCTTCCACCAACTTCTCAGGCTGCACTTTCCATATTTTTACCGCCTTCTGGGTGAAAAAGGTTTCGTTCTCGGATCTCCTTGAAACCACTTGCTTCTCACCTTAAACTTATGCCCTCTGGCCTGCCAAGGGGAAGGAAGGGACTCCATGCGAAACAAACACTGGAATTTGAATGGGTTGCTTTGCGATTTGATTGAAAGGCAGGTTATCACCTTCCCCCAAGTGGGTACACCTGTTTACAGAGACCGAATGGCAAGATGGAGCCCCAGTGAAGTATCGAGAGCGTAAAAAACACCCAGAAATGTAACATAACGGACTTACCACAAGGTTCCCAATTACCATGACCAGCATGAAGACAAGGATACACAAGGGCTGCCCGGCCACCTCCATACAATCCCACATGGTCTCGATCCACTCACCGCACAGGACACGGAACACGATGAGGAACGAGTGGAAGAAGTCAGACATGTGCCAACGTGGGAGGGTACACTTGGTGGAGATTTTACAAACACATTCAGTGTAGCTTTTGCCGAAGAGCTGCATTCCAACCACTGCGAAGATGAAGACAATGATGGCCAGTACGAGGGTCAGGTTGCCCAACGCACCCATCGAATTACCAATGATCTTAATTAGCGTGTTGAGGGTAGGCCATGATTTTGCCAGCTTGAAGACTCGGAGCTGTGGAATAAGATGGGACAAAAAAAAACCTTGCATCAGACAAGGTGAGTAATAATTATCACAATGAATGGACGAAGTAGAACGATGTTTAATTACAGTTTTCCAATGAACTGAAGCTCACAACAATTCAACAAGTCAACTGATGGCCTGAAGTCTATTGTTTTCCATTCGGATCGTATGTTACACTGGAAATATTTACATTAGCTTCTATTCGTTGAATTGGGTGGTTCAAAAGTGAAAAGAAGAACATGCGGGAAAGGGATGGAGTGGCCATTTGGGCTGACCTTCTACATTTACTCTCTCGACCCTAGGTTTCAGTAGAATTGTAGAGTTTTACAGTGCAGAAGGAGTCCATTTGGCCCATCATGTCTTTACTGGCTCCCAAAAGGGCTACACTCTCCAGCCCTATCGCTGTAGCTCTCTAACTCCATCAGTTTGATGTATATCTCCAGCCCACTTTTGAAACCTCCTCTGGAATCCACCTCCACCACTCTGCCAGGCAGCGCATCCCAAATCCTAACAACTCTCTGAGTAAAAGAGTTTCTCCCCATCTCACTCCTGGCTTGTCTTGCAGATAACCTTGAAATTGTGATCCCTAGTTACTGACATACCAACTAGTGGAAACAGAATATCCTTCTTCACCCTATCAAAATTGTTCATAATTTTGAACACTTCAATAAGGTCACCTCTGAATCTTCTCAGCTCCAGGAAGAACAAGCCCAATCTCTCTAAATCTTTCCTTGTATCTAAAATGCCTCATTCCTAATATCACTCTAGTGAATCTCCTTTGCACTCTCTCCAGGGCTGATACATCCTTCCTTAAATGAGGTGCCCGGAACTGAACACAACACTCCAAATGTAGCCTGACCAATGATTTGTAGAGGTACAGCATCACTCCACAACCAAAACATAAGTTGCTGGAAAAGCTCAGCAGGTCTGACAGCATCTGTGAAGAAAAAGTCAGAGTTAATGTTTCGGGTCCGGTGACCCTTCCTTAGAATTGCCCCTCAGGTATTTATTCTGCTGTTCACCCCCAGGTTCGCTCTGACTGACCCCGCTCCTCAGGGATTGATCCTGCTGTTCACCCCCAGGATCACTCTGACTGACCCCGCTCCCCAGGTATTTATCCTGCTGTTCATTCCCAGGTTCGCTCTGACTGACCCCGCTACTCAGGGATTGATCCTGCTGTTCACCCCCAGGGTCACTCTGACTGACCC